CCATCTTTGTTATGCCCTGTCACTCACTGGCATCAGTGCTAATTTGGGTGATGAAACACCTCATATTTATTGCCATAGCACTTGTCTAACATTTGGGGGTCATCTGATACTCCTAGTGTGATAAGTTCCACTCAAGTAGAAAAACTCTTCTGTGAATTATGTGTCAGCTGTAGTGGAGGAAAAAAGAATTTTCTCCCAACAGTCTGAGTTCTTATCTGAGGCTTTGTAATAAAAGACAGATTAACAAGAGAAAAACAAACAGAAGTTTATTATTATGTGCACCCCCTGTATATATGGGAGATAAGCAGGGAAAAATGCATAACCCCCTGAGTTGGCTTAGAATTCAGGTTTAAATATCATCTTGATAGGGAAAAGGGTGAGGTGGGGAGCAGGTATAGGCCTCTTAGAGGAGAGTAAATGATTTTTAGGAAGGATGAACCGTAGAAGAATGGGACCTTAAAATAATAGGTAGGAGGTATGATAGCTTGTGACAAAATTTATCTGGGTGTGGCAGCGACTTCTAGTGTCTCCCGTGAGAAGCTGATGACACTCCCAGGGACGGAATTTATAACTATTGAATCTCTTTTGGAGGAATTGTCTTTAGTTAAGGGGAGTTTGCAGATACCCCCCATCCCTGTATTTGCTGCTTTTCAAGCACTTACAGCTCAAAATAATATACCAAAATTATATATTTTTTTTTTGGCGGGGGGGCACGTCCTGAACTCCGACAGTCATATCTTGGGGTGGCATTCTCAGTTGCCTTTCTATATTAAATTCAGAATCAGAATGATTGGTGAGCTACTTGTCCAGCTTGAAATTGGGTGTTCCCTAGGAAACAAGGCCACCACTGGAGCTCAGAGGGTCCTGGCCTAACCACCGATTCTCTCCAACACACCCTGGACATAATGGCTACTGACATGTACAAACTTCAGTACATTTTTAAATCCAGAAGGTGCTATTGGCCACTTCCATACAGTGCTGGGAAGTACTCTTAGGAGACCACATCTTTCATTTGAATAAGCAAGAGAATAGCATGGTGTTATTGCCCCACAAGCCCCTAATGCTTTGGGAGTGAATCTTCAAAGAGTCACAGGAGAAAACCTTTATCCAGAGGTGAAAATAAGAGTCTCTGTAAGAATTGAGATTTTTTGAATTTGATAGATTTCTCAAATGGCATTGGGGATGAGGATTTGGTAGGTAGCAGGGAGTAGGGAGAAAAAAAGTCTGCCTTTCTTGTTACATGCTAAAGCCTGTCACTTAAGGGTGTGTGCCTGATTATTTCTCTTTCATGCATAGGTGCCCTGTTAGCTGAAGGTGCTGTGAAAAGTTGCCAAGAGATAAATTCAACTGTTTATGGAAATCATTACATGGTTCTGGGTGTATTTCCCTGGCACCCTCCAAGATCTATAATTTGGAGCTGAACAGCTGTTTTCTGGAGCTTGTAAATAAATGTATTTAAATATGTCTTAAATGCTTTGTTCAGAAAATGTACACAAAACAGGATGCCTTTCTAGTATTAGGGAACCTGCAAGAAGAAGGAAGGGAAACCTTATCAGTTGACTAGTGCTAACATTTATTGTGTGATTGGGATAGTGTTACATTCTCTCAGTGCTGGTTATAAAGATGGTAATTAAGTGGGCAGTCCCTGTAGGCTTCCAACCAAGACCAATGTAGAAGCATTTTTCCATCTCAGGTTTCAGCTACTACCTCCCCTAAGAGGGAACTGGAAAAGCAAAATAAGAAGACCTTTGAAGCCACATAATGTCTGGTCTGTCCTGGCTAACTGTGTCGTAACATAACTGACATTGTAGTAGGTAGCAGGAAAATCCATGTCAGAAACAATACAATTCCACGTTTTGTTTGTAGTGGGAGCAGAATCTGCACCCCCACGCTCCTGGGCAACCGTTTCCTGTTGCCTAGAGAAGTTGATGGCTGAGTCAACTGTTGACTGGAATGTGGTATCAAAATGGCTGTTGTCCAGTACCACTTTTTAAAAACACCTCAATATTAAAAAGCTGAGCCTTTTAATTAAAAAAACTGCTCCTATGTTCCTCTTCTACTTCACCCATGCTACCAGCAGCTTCTGTCATATGACTCCTAAGAAGACACTCAGTTTGATTCTTCAAGCTGTGTGTGAATGGGAAGCCACAGCCTAGCAATCACTGCACTGGGTCAGCAGGGCTTCGACTCATCTACTGAGCACACATCTGTGTTTAGCTAAGAAGCCATTGCTCTCCCATTTTCTGTGAAGAAATGCAAAGAAAATATAAGAAAAAAGTCAGGACTGCCCTATTTTACTAAATTAAAACAAAAAGGACTATCAGGACCTACCTGTGAATTTGTGGAGTAAAAGTGTATACCTCTCTAATAAACTTGCTTAAACTCCCAAGCTGCTATTTCACCCTATTTATTTGGAATTGAAGAGTTTCAGCTTTGAACCATTTAGCTGGTTTGTAGCCTATTGTACTTGGTGCTCAGTCCTGAAGGTTCCTGATACATCTTCAAACCACCAGATTATTTTATATCCAGAAGTGTTTGTTAAGACCTGAGGCAAAATATGCTTAATGAAGGTAACCATTTGGGAATGTCTGCATCAGACTGATTTCAGACTAGTGTCTAAGATTGCAAAATGTCAAATACTAGGCTGACTGAGAATTGTGCTAAGATTTAACTGAACCCTTTAATTCAAAAGCATGAACTTAAAAGAAAGAATCCTGAGGAAATCATCACTTCCTCAAATCTGACTGAAGGTTGAGAGGGATCAAGGGAAATTTCAAAAGCTTGGAAACTATCCCCAGGAAAACAATGAATAGGGCCTGGAAGAAAAGGAAAGAAGACATGCTAATTAACTGCCCCTGTAGAGAAAGCCTCTGCCCCTTGGCTTCCTTTGATGAGATTACAGAATTCTGAAACTCCTTCCCACCAGGAAGGTAGACTTGTTAAAAGAACATCCTTCTAAGAAGACAGGGAACACATTCCTCCTTCTTGGGAAAGTATGTGTTTCTGCTTTCTGGAAGGACTTAATCATGTTTTTTCATCCTTGCAACCAGAGCTTTGTTTCAAGGGGTTCTGAATAAATCCGGTCTAAAATGAAGTTTAGATTGATTTGAGGATATTGCAAGAATTCCAGGTAGCCAAGTCACTGCACTTTTTATCTTTATACAGTATCCCTCAATAGGGCAGAGAGTCTTTAGCGATCCTCTTAAATTTCTCGTCTCAGGATTGTTCCAGTTGCATTTCTCCATGGTTCCCTCACCACCACTGAAGGAGAATTCAAGCTAACTTACTTGATGTGACTACCATAACCTAGCAAATAATGTCTGTCCCCTTGCTTTTCATATATCCTCAACTCTCACCACATCTGTATACTCCAATTTGTACTCTCATAATTTAAAACACTTTAGCGTTGAACAGGATTTTAGTTTAAACTTCCCAGCCTAAGCAGGAAGCCCTATTCCTGACTTACGGTTACTGTCGCCCTTAAAATCTTCAGCGTCAGGGAACTTCTTGGTTGACTTAAACATGTTTTGATACCTCTTAATTCACTGTCCTCCATATACACCTTCCCCTCATTTCTTGGTTTAGCTCAACCTCATGTATTTTTCCAGGCCCAGCTTAAATCCTACCATTTCCTCAACAGCTTCCTAGACTAAAGATGATAATATAAACTGATAAAACCAACAGAATCATAGACTCTCAGTGAGTTAAAACCTGAAGTGAATATAGAGATGTTCTAGTATAGTCTCCTCATTTTACAGATAAGGGGGTTCTGACTGAAGTCCAGGCCATATTCTACATTTTGACCTCCTTTTTAACGCAGCCATGAATGTGCTCCTTTGTCAAACACTGCAAATATGTTTGCATTTTTTTCCTTAATTGCAAGATTTTGAAGGCAATAATTGTAATTTCTGTCCATATTTCACATGGTGTTTCATACATACTAGTTTTTTCTAACTCAGTGCCATCCAAGAGAATTTTCTGTGATGGTGTAAATGCCTTTATTTGTTTGCACTAACCAATGTGGTAATCAGTAGGCACATGCAGCTTTTGAGCTCTTTAAATGTGGTCAGTGCATCTGAAGAATTAAATTTTTTAAATTATTTCATTTTAATTACCTTGAATTTAAATATATATTATATATATAAATTTAAATATAACTGCGTGTTCCTAGTCATCACCATATTGAACAATGTAGCTCTCATTCATTGATTCATAGCAAGTGAAGAAAAATTAGAATACATTTGTTGACTTGATGTTTTAAACATTGTTTGAATCAGAATAACAGGTTTAGAGATGAGAGGGATCAAATCTCATCACCTCAATTAATGCCCCCAGAAATGTGAAAAGGTATTGGTTCAATGTCATATGGTTACCTAGGAACAAAGCTGGCACCTAGGGCCTATGCCTCCTAGCTAATAGTTTTTCCTTTATTTTTTTTTCTTCTTTCTCATATGTCTTGAGGAAAGTAGAAGGAGGAATCAAATAGTAAGTGGAAGGGAAAACCAACAGAAATAAAAAAAAATATGGTGAGAATGCAAGAGAATTATTGGTAAGAAAGAAAAGAAGAAAGCATGCGAAATGAGAGTAGAGAAACTTTCCAAGAGTAGAGAAATATCAGAGAATGGAGATGAAGAAAGGTGGGGGGAAAAAAAAGAACCGCATACTTTCATTCATGGGTCAGTGTAAATGAAACAATTCCCTTTTAAATGTAAAACAATGTTACTGTAATAAATCAGGGACCATTGCTTAGGTGTGCCCAGGATTACACAATGCATAGAGGTTAGTGGTTACTGAACCACGACAAAGCCCTCATACTAATGAATTACATTCCTTAAGACCTTTGTCAAATCAATCAAAGAACTCTCTCTGAATAAGCATGGAATGTTAACATCTGGTTCACCGAATGGAGATAATAGTTTCATCCAAAGCCTTAGTGAGTCAAGCTTTTATCCCTCCTTGTTGTCCACTGATCCCACTTTATCCTTCCTCTTGCCTTGCAGCTCTTGGACGAAGGAGAGACCTCACTGAAGCTTCGGATTCGCTTAGAGACCCAGGAAATAGAGAGCACTGGTGGAGGTGAAGCGTCTGGAAGCCTGAAGACGGCTCTAGATGCCCCTTGTCCCTTAGAGTCCTGGTAATCTAAGCAGCTTCAGCAACCTTTGGAGAGAAATAATTTGTGTGGATACTGTAGTTTATTAGTAAGAGAAACAGCTAGTTCCCCAAAGCCGACTGGTATTAAGAACAGGTTACTGCATTGTTTGTTTGTTTCACAGTATTTTGTATTTTATAGAAAGAAGGAAAAACTAAGACTAATATCTGTGACTTCAAAATCTGTAACACGCACTTTTTTTTTTTTTGTTATCTTTCCCATTCTCGCAGGGAAGTGAAATGACACTGCATCTTCTCAGATGTATGTGGAATAGTTTTTTTTTTTCCTTGATAATATGATGGTTGTCCAGTTAGGTCATAGGCATAGCAAGTTTTTTTTTTGCATCCTGAATGCTACTTTGCCTGGAGACATGGCACCAATGTCACAAGCTAGTGTTAGGATTTATTCATTCAGGACTCTAAAGTGGGATTAATAATCATCAACCTTCCAAATCTCATTCTCTCTCTTTGTCCTACCACTTTTCTTCTTCTAAGTTTCCTTATTTCCTATTAACAACTACTGCCCTTCCTGGTCAACTTCATTAAAAGTCTGTGTGGGCATTTTGGCTGTCCCTTGTCTTTTATGCCCTACCTCGAGTTGATTGCTCCATCAAGCAACTTCTCTTTACAAAGTATCTCCCCTTTATCTGCCTCTTCCCATTTCATTGCCTCTACCCTAAGGCAGACAGAGTGCTGTTAGCTTGCTTTCTTGTCACCAGTTCAAGCTACATACTGTCCCTTAATGAATCATTCTAAAGATTGGGAGTAATTTTATCACTGTATAGTTCAAAACTTTTCAACAATATGAGATACTTAAAAGGGAGAAGAAGTCGAAGGAGAGGAAGAGGTAGAGGAGAAAGAAAAAGGAGGAGGAAGTTGCCAGTGGAGCTAGAAAGCTAAGAAAGTTTACTATTTATAAAAATTCGCATATAGTACTGACAGCAAGTCAAATCAATGGGAAACTACATTTCATGAACTAGTTGTGAATATTGGCTTTAAAATATTTCAGTTGTATTCTTACCTTCCAACATACACCAAAGTAACTTTCAGACTGATTAGAATCTTAAATGTGAAAAAAAAAGATTCTAAAAATACTTTAAAAATATGAGAAACAATAATTTTATATCAAGATTAGAAGGATCTTTCTAAATAAAATTTAAAAAGAAGAAAGAATAATGTAAAAGATTAAATATGAGCATTAAAAATCCAATAAAAAACCCATTTGTAAGGTTCAAAAGCAAATGGCCATCCAGGAAAAATATTTCCAAGATATATGACATACAAAGTGTGCATGTAATTAAAATATTAAGATCTTGTAAAAATCAGCAGGAAAAAAAACAAGGAGAAAAAATTTGCAAGGATTATGGAGAGGGAATTCACAAATGTATATAAATAACCTATATCATGAAAAGAAAGACATCAGAGCAATTGTACTTTTTCCCTCTGTGCGTCCCTCTGTTGTTTTAAGCCCATAGAATCCCTCCTTATTTTAGGATTAGTCAGTCAGATTTTTGCTAGCTTATGTTTTCAGTTTGCATTTATATTTTAATTCACTCTATTTATTTGGACGTATGCTCTGAGTCTTAGAGTCAATTTGATTGCAATCTTTTCCCTTCTTCCTAGACTGTAAGCTCCTTGAGGGCAGGAACAACGTTCTATTTATTTTTGTGGCCCCTGCAGCATGCAGTAGCGGGTGTATGGCACACATAGTCAACACAGAAGGGGTAGAGAGGGAGAACCAGAGAAGTTCTGAGAGAAGAGGCATCTTTTGAGATTAGTCTTAAAAGTCTAAAATATTTTCTAGATACTGTCATTCTTTTTCCTTTTGTGTATTTCTTTCGGGTTAAACATGGCCTAAAGGCAGGGTAACATGACATAAGAGAAAAAGATACTGAAGAAAGACGTATGAGGAGTCGAATACTGACCCTTCTAACTGCTTATGACACTCTGAGCCTCTATTATTTGTTTATACAATAGTATAGAGATTACTACCTGCATGGTTATTAGGAAGAGGAAAACCCACCTTTGTGAAGTGATCAGCATACCGGTCCATCCCCTTTGTACTACATACTTTTCCTGCTATTCTGGGAGAGGCACTTTGCATCTCATAACCTCTTTTTCTGTAGTGAAGTAAAAATGTGGTAGTTTGTGTGAAAACATCTTGTAACACAGGATTTTTAACAGCACAACCTACTAGGAATTAAAGTTTTGGTATATATTTAGGTGTAAAATTGCTTATTGTGCCTTTGTTAATGATAAATTGAATGGAAATGAAATTTGGGTAGTGTCAGTAACTTCCAAGCAGAAGAACAGAGGTCAGAAAACAACAAAGTTAAATGTGAAAAATAGGCAGTTAGCAATTTTGAATGTAATGGAGTCCTGTAGTAGAAACGGCACAGATTCTGAGAGGCAAACATGAGTCTGAGGCACAGCTCTGCCACAAACTCTGTGCAACCCTGGGCAAGTTACTGACCTCATTGAGACTTGGTTTCTCCAGCTGTCAAACTGGGATTAATAACGTCCCCACAGAAGGGGTGTCGTGAAGATCAACGTGATGAGCAAATGAAAGCATATGGCACATAGTCGACATTTGATAAATATAGTCGACATTTGATAAATGCTTCTGTTTTTGCTTCTTTTCTTTCCTCTCAAAGACTCAATAGCCAGCCTGAATCACCATAATACCTCTGGGCATTTATATGTTTAAAAGACCTGAATATGATTTCTTAAACACCCACCGAACTCCCAGTAAGTGACTTAAGCCTCAGAGAGAATAGATTCTGCTTTTAGAAATGTGTTCAGATTGATCCCTGTGTTTACAATAGGATTTTTGGATCCATGTATGTCTTATGACACATGGTCTAAATCTCTATGCATATTCAGCTGATCTCGGTTTGTCTTGCAGGCACACAGCCATCATTTTGCTCTTGGGAAGACGGAGAACATTGTGTACCAATTCCTTTGTTTTAAAGCATTATCGGTAGTCATTATCACTGCCTGCTTTTTAAATTTTGTGAGCTGTGTAAAATGTGTACTCTATACTCTTGGGAAGGTTTTTTTCCCAGTGAGAGTATTTAAGTTGAATGTTGTTTTAATAGTCTGGGAGTGGAGAGACTGGTAATAAAGCAAAGCATTTGAAATTTTTAAAATAAGCAGTAGATTTATAGGAATTATGTGAGGATGTTATTAGTGATTAAATACAATATAAAAGAATACTGTATCTAGAGTGAAAAATGCTAATCATAACCCAGCAATTTTTTCTGGCTCTTTTTATTTTGTAATAAAACAATGCTGATATTTTAGAATGAATGAAGCATGTCATTCTATATTTGCGTCAGTTAATTTTGTATAATTGGATATAGCAGAATATATTTCTACTTTGTTTTTAAAATTGTTAGTTAACAAATATAATTTCAGTCTCTCTTATTTCCTTTCAGATATGGCCTCGAATGAAAAGAGACAACACCCCTTTTCTCCAGTGATAAACACTCTGCACACACCATCTTCCCTCCCTTTCCTTAGTGTGGAGATGTGTGTTTGCTCTTCCCTTTATCTGCACCTCTTGGTCATACTGTCTTGTGAGAATCTGTAATTTAGTAATTAGCCACTGTCTTGGCTTCAGAATTATTTCTATTAGGGAAATAGTTTAGTGTTTGATTTGTGTCTTTTATGTCCACTTAGCACTTGAATTATTTAATTACCTAAGTTTAAGGTTTAGGTTGATACAGTTTTGCTTGTCCCCATTTCAGCGCTAAGGTAAAAGAGGCCTAGAGAGTTTTCACAAATTATCTCACATTCTTACCTAGTGAGTAAGTTGAAATTATAACCTGTATCTGAATAGAAAATAAATTAAGTTTTTTCCCAATTTGAGGCTGACAAATACATTAATATGATGAAGTCAAAGATGATTTCATCTCACCCCTTCTCCGGAAGTCGTAGATGAACGTATCCAGGACATCTGAAAGATTGTCCCTGTCACACTGCTTTCCCTATGGGAAACAGCGTGAGGGAAAGGAAATGAGTCCTGACCCTCCCTGGAGGAAATGCTTATACATATTTGGAATCTGAGGGGCAGCTGCCAATTTCACCTGGGGGCAGGAAGTACACACCTGTTAGCTACATGGTTTTTAGAATAGCCTGTATTTGGCCAGATTACAAGGAACACTGTTGTTATGGCATCAAAAAAGGAAGCTGATTTACATGCGAGTAATCCTTATTAAAGGGGATTTTAGGAAGCTGGACACTTGAGAAAAGCAGGCAACTGTGAAAAGAATATATCCTGCTTCCCTTTGTAAAAGCCAACAATTACCCAAATTGGGTTGGGATTAGATAAGGCAATCTGTTGTAATAGAGTTGATATCTGGGAAGGGAAAAGTTTGAGTTATTCAGAGATAAACCTCTTATCATGGTTCCCTTTCCTTGATCATCTTTATCCTTTCACCCCACCCCTACCTTTATACTAGTGGTTGCTGGTGGGTTGAGGAAGGAATGACTTTGGAAGTGCTCCTTAACCAGGCTTTTGTCTGCATTGTCCAAGGCTCAAGGCTTTCTCATCAGCCGCCTTTCCTGCCCTGTCATTAGTCCTAGTGGCAAAAGAGCCACATTCTCATGAACTGACCCATGCAGCGAACAGGTCACCTCAGATGGAGGCTTGCTGCTTTGTTTAAAGGCTACCCAGATTCCCAGATGTTGAGGCAAGAGGCAAATATGTGGGCACACTTTCATTGCTCTTTAGTTTGTTTTTTGAGCAGTGGAAGAAATGCGGTTCCACCTGCTGGCTGAGTGCATGGTTTCAAGTGGGCATGGTGGATTCTGACGTTTTCCTGTTACAACTGCAAAAAGAGTCTCTGTGAGAGAAACTGTAAATTCTCTCTGAATGTTACTAGAGTTTAGGGAGAATAAGTATTTTTTCCCCCTCTTTTTATATTTCCCCTTCACTTATGCTTAAAAATAGGTAATTGGAGCAGGGCTGCAAAGTGTAATCTTGCCCCAAGGCTAAGTTTGCCACCTAATGACACATGGTTGTTCTTTACTGAGGCAGTCTAGTACTCATTATCCCTAAATTAGCTCCCTTTTCTCTTTTGCTTTATTATTCATCCACCTTCTTCATTTGGATTTTTCCAAGTGAACCATGGCAAAGTGTGTCTTTGTGAGGTTGTGTGTCTGTGTAACAGTGTATCTGTGTGAGTGAGTGAATAGCCCCCACACCATTCCCCTCATTTACATTGCTTATTGAAGCCACAGCAGTGGAACATGGACAAAAATCTTTGGTATTGATCCCTTCATAATGATCTCACATCCATCCAGGGAAAAAAAATCTAGCTAAAAGTAGAAGCTGAAATTCAGTTGCAAAGTTCTATTGTCACAGCCTGATGCAAGCAGCTCAAGCTCAAGAGACAATTCCTCTAAGTTGAAACTGGCTTTTGAAAGAACTGGCTGAAAGTGTCTGTGTAAAAGTATAAATAAGTCATTTACATCCTGTTCTGTCAAGAGAAAAGTTTCATACATTATATCCAGTTAGACTTGTAACATAAGGTAAAGATAAGAAAGTGCTCATGTGGCCTTCATTGTTCAGACCTGGGTTGAAATCCCACTTTACCCCTGGTAACCTATCATTACTTAGCCTGTCTGCGTCTCACTTTTCTCACCTCAAATAGGGATAATATCAACTTTACAAGTTTGTGGTGAGAATCCAAAGAGATGATATTCAAGATGCTTAATATACTTTTGTTATGTTGTAGACAACAGATTATATTAAAAATTTGCCATCCTTTTTGATTTGCTTATAATAAACTGAAACAGCTTTGAAAAGTTTTGGTCTAAGAGTCTAAGAATGTGAGCTTGGATTTTTTTTTTTCTCTACAATCATTTCTTTCATCAGTTTGGAAAGGGACCTAGCATTTCTGAAGCACACCAGCATTTCTGCTTTACATCAGACACTCTGCTTGGCAGTATAATTTTATTGAATACTTGTATAAACTCTGCAAAGGCTTATTATTATTCCCATTTTGTAGATGAGAAAGTAGAAGCCCAGAGAGGTTAAGAAACTTGCCCAAGTTCCCAAAGTGGAGGAGCAGGTATGCCACAAGGGTTGTCAAGTCCCCAAGGGTAGAAATCAAAAATTAGGGTCTATTTCATTTGCCTGAACTTGCTGTAAGAAAGTTACTTCCTCTCACATATTATGTAACAAAATCTTCTGATTCAGAGGGTCAGTTTACCAGAGAAGGGAATTTAGCAAATTTGCCTACCTGCTTGATTCCTAAAGTAAACATGTGGTATGTGTATTCAAAATATCAAATTTGCTTTTGATGTTATTGAAAGATTCCATTATTTCTGCTTCCTTCCAAGCTGATTTCCTCCAGACACACATTTTGTTGATTACAGCATTTCCAATTTGTCTTCTGTGTCCTATCTTAATATTTCAAACATAATCATTCTCTTTACCCCACCATATTCCAGTTCAAATTTCTTTTCTCTTCATTAGGCCTGAGGTACCTGGGTGTTCTCAGCCTCTATAGCACCTGTAACCCTGGGTTGTTGGTTATGTTCTATTGTCCTTCCACATACAGCCTTGTTCTTATTCTATGAAGTCATTCCTTCCTCCTCTATATTCCTTCCTCCTTCCATGAAACCAGAGTTAGCCAGGAGAGAGTTCAGAAAAGTGGTGTAGGGGGACACATGAAGGTTCTAATTCTAGCTGGATGACCGTGATAGGTGACTTAAATCTTGATGTCTCAGTTTCCTTACCAGTAAAAACAAATGTTGCAATGCTTCTTACTTGATCATGGCTCCAAAGGCTGTAGATGCGGTGGTCTCCATCAGAGGGTGCTGCCGTACACAGCAGGCAAGGAGAGACTGAAGAAAGAGGGGAGCCACTCTGGATTGGTAGGTGACAGGTTTCATGAGCAAGGGAACTTACATACAAAGCTTGTCTTAGGTGACTGCCAGATGAGTAGATCTCCACACCCAACTGTCAGAATCTTAGAAGTTGATATAGAGGCCTAAACTGGGTTCAGTCACATGTTCAGGCCAGACAGTCTCAAATTCTCTCAAGGTGGTATGATTGAAACAGCTCCTATTGTGAGCATGGTGAGCAGCAACATACATTCCAAGAATATACTTGTATAAACTCTGCAAAGGCTTATTATTATTCCCATTTTGTAGATGAGAAAGTAGAAGCCCAGAGAGGTTAAGAAACTTGCCCAAGTTCCCAAAGTGGAGGAGCAGGTATGCCACAAGGGTTGTCAAGTCCCCAAGGGTAGAAATCAAAAATTAGGGTCTATTTCATTTGCCTGAACTTGCTGTAAGAAAGTTACTTCCTCTCACATATTATGTAACAAAATCTTCTGATTCAGAGGGTCAGTTTACCAGAGAAGGGAATTTAGCAAATTTGCCTACCTGCTTGATTCCTAAAGTAAACATGTGGTATGTGTATTCAAAATATCAAATTTGCTTTTGATGTTATTGAAAGATTCCATTATTTCTGCTTCCTTCCAAGCTGATTTCCTCCAGACACACATTTTGTTGATTACAGCATTTCCAATTTGTCTTCTGTGTCCTATCTTAATATTTCAAACATAATCATTCTCTTTACCCCACCATATTCCAGTTCAAATTTCTTTTCTCTTCATTAGGCCTGAGGTACCTGGGTGTTCTCAGCCTCTATAGCACCTGTAACCCTGGGTTGTTGGTTATGTTCTATTGTCCTTCCACATACAGCCTTGTTCTTATTCTATGAAGTCATTCCTTCCTCCTCTATATTCCTTCCTCCTTCCATGAAACCAGAGTTAGCCAGGAGAGAGTTCAGAAAAGTGGTGTAGGGGGACACATGAAGGTTCTAATTCTAGCTGGATGACCGTGATAGGTGACTTAAATCTTGATGTCTCAGTTTCCTTACCAGTAAAAACAAATGTTGCAATGCTTCTTACTTGATCATGGCTCCAAAGGCTGTAGATGCGGTGGTCTCCATCAGAGGGTGCTGCCGTACACAGCAGGCAAGGAGAGACTGAAGAAAGAGGGGAGCCACTCTGGATTGGTAGGTGACAGGTTTCATGAGCAAGGGAACTTACATACAAAGCTTGTCTTAGGTGACTGCCAGATGAGTAGATCTCCACACCCAACTGTCAGAATCTTAGAAGTTGATATAGAGGCCTAAACTGGGTTCAGTCACATGTTCAGGCCAGACAGTCTCAAATTCTCTCAAGGTGGTATGATTGAAACAGCTCCTATTGTGAGCATGGTGAGCAGCAACATACATTCCAAGAATAGGGGAAGAAGGGAGGAGCCTCCAATTCCCCAGGTCCTTCTCAGTGGTCAGCTGGTGGCCATGTCCTCTCAATGACCTCCTCTAACAGAGGTACAATCTCTTATTCAAGGAAAGAGTTGGTAGCAATAATAATATGTATATATAACACTTTCTATTAATACGAACAGTATGTAAACATCATTTTATTTGTTCTTTCCAACACAGCAAACTTGGGCCAAGTCACCCAGCTGGTGGGTAGCAGAGCCAGGGCCTGAATATGGTCCTCTCAATTCTGAATTCTTTGCTCTACACCTCAACAGGCTTAGGTAAACTGGTTGGGGCACAAGGAGGGGAAGATCAAAGGTTTTTTTTCTATATCTGTGTGAACTGGGCTTGGGAAGTGACTGGATACTGTAGACTGAGAGTGGAAATATAAGGACAGATACGGTACTGTGCATTTTTCAAAAGAAAAATCTTCCTGATTAATTTTCATTTCAGGCTTTTGATTTTTCCTAAACATCTACAGGATAACATCTGAATAAGAGAGTACGTGGTTGGGAGTGAAACAGAAAATATAACTTCGATTTAATAATCCTAAACCCAATATTGAAGAATGCAGTCCAGGTTGCTATAGTAACTTAGGGGATTTTCTGTGTCTTCTGGATGGTATTTTCCCCAAAATGAGAAATAGTTCTTATTTAAAAATCCATTCTATGGTTAGCTCAAAGATTAGCTTTATACAGTCCGTTGAGTTGCAATGCTAAGCATTGTAACTTATTTTTTGATGTCAAGATCAACAACTCCTTCTCAAGGGGACCCTGTCCTGCCTTTGTAAAATGGATAGCATTTAAATCCGTCTATTGTATACTCAGTGGTCTCTTTTGGCCACAAGAGTTCATTCCCCATTAAAAGACCAGTGACATATTTCAGATTCTTTGTGAAAGCATCAAACATGCTTCTCTTTGTTTAGGAGGTGATCTGTTTGTCAGGGGAGTGAACAGGGCACAGG